TCATTACATGTCATTCCCCCAACCAAACCTTCATCACCGGGGGCACATTCTGTAGTATATTTTGAGTTATATGGTTCACAACCTTCTTCTGATATTCATTATATAACCCCATATCTATATATTAAAATATGTATCGAACAATGGAAGCAAATAAAACAAAGAAAGAGGTAGACCAGAGACGACAAAGGCAGACCAGATGACAAAGGCCAGACGAAAAACAACCTGGCGCCATAAAGTAACGTGATTACAGTAGCCAATGAGGAATCGCCACATATGCGAGCGTCCCAGAGTATATAAAGAGGCCAGCAATGGGACAAAGAGAGTTATTCAGGTAGTTGTTTTCAGAACCACGCCGTTAGACGGTCGGGTTTCTCACCCCTATGTAGGGCATCCGTGACGCCCATGGTCCGACTGCCTTCGTCCGTGGTCTACCTCACCTTCTTGGAGTTACCATCTAGACCTGCCTCTGTCTCTTGCTGTCCCAGTGCGGGAATCCCACATCACGCACCCACTACCACGACTGCCCAGCACATTCCACATCGGGTTTACTACATATATATATGGAAGCAATGGTTGCCTCTCCCGTCAAAATAAACGTCAGAAACTGACGCCATCTATTGACCGTCGCCGCAACTAGCGGCATCGGGTCGGTGACAAAGCCACAACACCAACTTTGGCAAACTGATAAGCGTCCACCTAGAGACCATGGTTTCGGGCTAATGGCCCTCGTTAGTCTAGGGCGGACTTTATTCCATGAGATCCACACGGGATCTAATGGAATCCTCACAATCTACCAAAGTGGTGTTTTGCTGGCAATGTGGCTGGGCCAAATCTATTGGCAAAACATAGATGGAAAATTTGCCGGGAGGAAATTAATCCATGGAAGCAATGGTCGCCTCTCCCGTCAAAATAAACGTCAGAAACTGACGCCATCTATTGACCTTCGCCGCAACTAGCGGCATCGGGTCGGTGACAAAGCCACAACACCAACTTTGGCAAACTGATAAGCGTCCACCTAGAGACCATGGTTTCTGACGTTTATTTTGACGGGAGAGGCGACCATTGCTTCCATGGATTAATTTCCTCCCGGCAAATTTTCCATCTATGTTTTGCCAATAGATTTGGCCCAGCCACATTGCCAGCAAAACACCTCTTTGGTAGATTGTGAGGATTCCATTAGATCCCGTGTGGATCTCATGGAATAAAGTCCGCCCTAGACTGACGAGGGCCATTAGCCCGAAACCATGGTCTCTAGGTGGACGCTTATCAGTTTGCCAAAGTTGGTGTTGTGGCTTTGTCACCGACCCGATGCCGCTAGTTGCGGCGACGGTCAATAGATGGCGTCAGTTTCTGACGTTTATTTTGACGGGAGAGGCGACCATTGCTTCCATGGATTAATTTCCTCCCGGCAAATTTTCCATCTCTATATATATATATGGTAATTTAAGCCAACAACCCCATATTCTATATAACTTATAACAAGATTTTAATGTTGTATAATAGAAACACATCTGTAAATGATTATACGCATTATTGACATGTGTCTTTACATCATCATATGTAATGTAATTTGTACAAACTGAGGATAAATAAATAAAACTCTGTAATAGATTAAGAGTTGAGCTAAACAAGAGATAGAAGTCATAACGTCAAAATCGAGATAGATTTATAATTCCCACAACAAGGTCTAAAAATGGGCCAGACCACCCACACTCTTGACATCTGGTGGAATGCAAAGTCCCCTCTCACATCTGGTGACATGCAAAGCCCCCTTTCTCAGAAACGGCCCCTGTCGCATAAGGCCCCCCGTCTTAACCTATAAATACAGTCACTTTACAGTCACTTGACAGTTAGTTCACCTCAGCGCAAGCCCACATCGGTTGTCACCAAGGTCCTCCTCATCCACCATGTAGTCAGTAAGAAATCTTCTATCTCTCCATCTTTCGCTCCTAGCTCAACTTTTATCTGTGCACGGAACTTTCTTAGTGCAACTGTGTCTTCGGTTTTTGTGTGGACATTCCCAAGCTTTCCACTCTGCCTCGACCACGACTGCCTGTACTCTGTGAGAACTTTTAAAGGACTTACAAGGTGCAGAGAGGTACTGGAAAACTCCCCATCCTGACTGTTCCTCTTGGTCAACACAGTATAGCGAGAGTCAACACTTTATCATCACAAAGTTAATCGACAGTATTCTACAAGAGTCAACAGTAACACATCATCTTATTACATATATATATATTAAGAAAAAGGCATCTCCTTATCGTGCAACTGAAAGTTGCTGATGGCTGGCGCCATCTATCGGAATAAATATCAACTATTCTCGTTGATTTTTAATTATTCCAGAATTAGGAATAAGGAATTAGGAATTCTTAATCAAGAATGGGTATTTGGCCAATTCTGGAATAATTAAAAAAATCAACGAGAATAGTTGATATTTATTCCGATAGATGGCGCCAGCCATCAGCAACTTTCAGTTGCACGATAAGGAGATGCCTTTTTCTTAATTTACGCACCTTATCCCAGTACAATGTTACATTTGTACTATTTTTTCACATATATATATATAATAAACAGATTTATGCATCATAAAATCACCATTTGTATTTTGGTACACTGTGTGACTTCACTGCTCTCTTTGATGTGAGAAATGAATAAAAGATCCTGGAGGCTACTTAAAGTAGAGTTATCTCATTATTCCCTTATATAAATTTGTAGGATGGTTGAAACACGCTCTGGTAAGATACAAGACCCGGCACAGGAGAGAATCAAGGTTGAAAAGCCTGCCAAGCCGCAACCTGGTGCAACAATATAAATATCATATCACCAAAAAATGTGATTAGCTTTCTAAAAAAATAATAATGACATTGTTTATTACTGGTACTATTACTGTTATTCCTATATGTATCCTATATTTCTATATACTCGGATAATCTGTATAAGACTAAAATATCTTTTTTTTTTTTTTCAAATACAAAAATATTTTATTGACGCTCATAGTCAATTGATACAAAAATAAATAAGAATTAGAAAAATAATGAGAATTTACAATTTAGTGATTAAATATAAAAAGCTGTTCTCAGGAAGGGAGGCTCCTCCATCTTGAGAGAGTCTACCTCCAGACAAGGACAGGATCAATTTGAACCGTTCTCAGCGGTTGTAATAGTTGTATACATTAAATCCAGAAGGTGAATAATAAAGTTCATATACGACATACATATTTCTCTACATAAGTACAGGCACTTTCAGTACTAGCAGTGGGAGGAGTTATCAACATGTTGTTGTAATAAATGATAGCGCTGTGATAATTATCAAAATGTTGAGATGATACTTATAGAGACATGACTTGGTAGACGCCAGGATGGCCAGGGTGTCATCATCTAGGCCTCGCCTGAAGACCCAGCTCTGCTGCAGGTCAGGAGGGATGATGGTAAATGCCTCCCAGATGAGAGGACTGATGTAGCGGCAGGACCAGTACCGATGAACCAGCGACAGGTCGCCGGACCCACAGGCGACGCAAGATCTTAATAAAGCTTTTTGTTGTTTATATTGTAGAAAAGTATTTTTAATTTTATTTTATGTATAGATCATATTAATTTTTTTATATTTGTATTATTTATATTTTACTCTGGGGAAACTTATCTCATTGCTTAACTTGTATCTTATAAAAGTTGATATTGCTTTTGTATCTTAAATAAATTGCTGTGTCATCCTGAAGTTTGTCTTTCCTGATTTTCTACGTTACAATACTTGAATTACAAATATTATTTGAATACATTTTAAACACAGTTTAATCAATAGCTATATGATATAACGTATATATTATATAGACCAGAGAATGTAATTCTCATAAAAAATTAGAAATATGTTACCTCTGAAGAGAGATAGATAGAGAAATCTTAAACTTATTGAGCAGTTGGATGTAGTTATGGAAACAATGATAAAATCTCTATCTAATAATTAGTTAAAATGTTCAAATATCATAAAGTTACACCATGAACGCTTGAAGCGACCATTCTATATTACTTTTTTTTTTTTAATTACACTCGTGAAAAAATACTTAAGAAAGTGGAAAGGCTATGTTGCTGGTCGTCTGTTTTTTTTTTTTTTTTTTGAAGGAGACAGAGACAATTTTGTTGACACTTTGTTATCTCGTATGTCTTCAATAATTGTCACTGTGTATCAAATATCTTTCAGAGTTATTGTCTGAATCCCGATATACATTCTAAAAGGTACAGCTTCCTTAAATTTTTCTAATTGCTAATTTAAACAAGTTTTTTTTTGGTCCATGAGTGTATATCTATATATAAAGGTAAGTAAATAAAGTTCAAATATCTTAATCCTAGTAACCATTTATCATTGTTCATTTATTTCATCTAAATTGACCCTTTCTATAGGTGTATGCCGTATATATCTCTATACAAAATGTAACCATTATGCACGAATTTTCCCCTACGCATAAAATAAATTAATTCCAATGACCTCTAAGCTTATGACCATGCATAGTTTTCTAAATACTATGACAAAGATTCTATCCAATGTCTGATACATTAGACAGGATCGTCCTATGCAATAGCTCTAAAAAGCGGTATGGTTGATTAAATTGGCGAAACCGCTGGGAGAATTCACCACTGATGAACTAAGCCCTCCCAACATTTTATTCATCGCAGTAAAGACTGTAGAAAGTTTGTTTTATTTGAAAATAAATATTCGTGCTTAATTATTTTATTTCGTGTGTGTTTTTTTTTATACACCGTCTTATATATGTTGGGTTGACGTACCCCAAAACGAAGACCCCTCTGAAGACGTATAAATAAAATATTATATGACACCCGAAAACTATATCGCAAATGTTTCTTTTCAACGAAAAATCGTTTTTTTTATTTTTTTTTAAGGAGAAATAACGATTATTTCTAACCTTTTGTATTATAAATTACTTTTGTATTATTAACCTAATTGTATTATAAATTACTTCATGTATTATTTACGAACGGAAAAATATGTCCAGGGTAGCAAGTGGACATGGCATCTGCCTGGTAAGCGGAACACTGTGGGTTCGATTCCCATCCCTGGACACTTTTATTTTTCCGTTTATCATTACTCTTCACAATTGATCCTTTCATACCTCATTCCTAAGGTTAAAAATAATCGTTATTTCTCCTTAAAAAAAAAATAAAATTTTGATTTTTCGTTGAAAAGAAACACTTGTGATATAGTTTTCGGGTGTCGTTTTTCAATCACAAGTCGCATTATATTATATTGTATTATAAAATATTATATCTTATCGATAAGTTTTATTTTCTTAATTAAATATCTTACAATCTGGTTTGGAGCGTTCCTGCAAGTATCCCTCTCAACTCTAAAGTGGATGATCTAAGAAAAGCTGAAGAATTCAAGGTTTACCGCAGATTGAAACAAAAGATAAATGTCATTGAAAACCGAACAAGACGAAGACTACCTTCACCTGTCTGCAGCAACCGAGAAACTCCTTACCTTTGTAGCTAAGTCCTCTTATTGCGCTTATTAATGGCTAAAAGATTTTGAAGGAGTTGCCAAACATAATGGATGGGACGACTCCACGTTCCTCGAAAATGTTGTTTTCTTTTCAGAAGGAAAGGTAAAATGCTGGTATGAGAATATGGAGGAGACCCTGAAATCATGGAAAACTTTCAAAAATGATCTGCTCAAGATGTTTAGTGACAAGGAGAATTTTGTTAAAAAGGCTGAAGCAAAACTGGAAACGTGCGCCCCATTTGTTGGTGAATTGTGCGAGTCTGTGGGGGCCTGCTGTATGCCGCAGCCGTCAAGAAAAATAAACAAGCGGCGCCATAAATCAGGAGACGACGACCGCTGCGCCAGGGCGGCACAGCGGTGGAATCCAGAGAGGAGCAGATGTGCATTCTAGGGTGTTGTCCTTTTTGTCTTCCCATATAAATGTAGCTAATAAGAAATTCCAATAAAACACTAACTTTGAGAGACTTTCTGAGCCATCGCTGGACTAATAAATCGACACACCACATTGGTGAGCCGGACGTGATTGAAAAGAAAAAGCATACGAAGATTTCAAGAGATAAAGAAATGCAAAAATTGATTCAAGCTTGAAAAGAAGCATCATCCAGGATATCGGGATATCATCTCAAGACTACGATAAGTTTTTATATTATCTTCCTTGTTATTTTATCTCAATATTTTTATTTTTAACTCTATCTCTAAGCTGTTGTGTCGAATTTAAATTTACGTAAAATGGAAACAGAAAATAAGCCCAGCGATACCTCAGAAATATGCAAAGTTAGTGTTAAAATACCGCCTTTCTGGGTTGAAAAACCTGAAATATGGTTCTTCCAGGTAGAAGCACAGTTCAAAATAGGTGGAGTTATTCAGGAAGACACTAAATTTAATTATTTGATCTCCCAATTAGAACCTAAATATATAGAAAACATTTGGGACATAATTAATAGCAAAAGCGACAACAAGTACTCTGAATGTAAATCACGACTACTTGAATTGTTCAGAGAAAGTGAAGGGTTGAGAATTAAAAAGTTAATTTCTGGTATAGAGCTCGGAGACATGAAGCCGAGCCAGTTACTACAAAAGCTCAGATCCCTCGCTACCCCAGATATCTCTGACAATTTAATAAAAACTTTATGGCTCGATAAACTGCCCACATCCATAAAGAATATACTTATTGTAAGCGATGAGGACATTAGCAAATTGGCCATAATGGCCGATAAAATAAATGAAATAAACTCTTCCAAAGAAATATATGATGCGGAAGTGCCTTCTTCATCAACAGATCGCTTGATCGCCAAATTGGAAGATCTTGAACGGCAAGTGTCCGAATTGAGACTGGATAGATCTAGATCTCGATCCAAAAATAGGACTCAGTCAAGACCGAGAAGTAATTCTCAAAGATCCTTCGATCAAAGAGGGAGATATTGCTATTACCATTTTCGCTTTGTATCTAATTGCTTGCAAAATAAATGCAGGTCTCCGTGCAGTTGGAAAGAGTCGGAAAACTCCAACAGGCGGACAGAGTAGCGACAAGCTCTTCTGCCGGCATTCAGGATTGTCGCAATCTCCGATTATTTGTGACGGACAAAAACACGGGATTGCGCTTTTTGGTGGACAGTGGTTCTGATATATCTATAATACCTCCAAAGGATAAAAATAGGATGCCTAGCTCTGATTATAAATTATACGCAGCCAATGGTACAGAAATTGTTACCTATGGAACAAAGGTTAGAAATTTGGATATCGGACTTCGACGTCAATTTCAATGGCCTTTTGTAATCGCCAATACCAACAGAGCAATAATAGGAGCAGACTTTCTGAACAACTTAGGATTGATTATATATATTAAAAATAAACGCCTAATTGATGGAATAACTAATCTTTCCATAAGAGGCGTCATTCAGTCAATCTCAGACATGAGAAATATTAGCACTCTAAACTCATCATCCAAGGTCAGAGCTATCCTAACCAAATATCCTAACCTATGTAGGCCACCATCAGATTTTGTAGAAGCAAAACATAGCGTTAAGCATTATATTCCTACAAGAGGTCAGCCAATTCACTCAAAAGTTCGTCGTCTAGATTCACAGAGATTAACTCTTGCTAAGGCAGAATTTCAATATATGTTGAATAATGGAATAATTAGACCCTCAAATTCTCCTTGGGCGAGTCCACTACATTTAGTTTCAAAAAAGGACGAGTCACTAAGACCTTGTGGTGATTATAGAAGACTCAATGCAGTTACACTTCCAGATCGTTATCCAATCCCTAGACTGGACGATTTCCACCACATCTTAAAAGGTACTAGTGTGTACTCAAAAATAGACCTATGCAAGGCATTCTATCAGATTCCAATTGCTGAAGAGGATAAACCAAAGACTGCCATCATTACTCCTTTTGGGCTATTCGAATTTAATGTAATGAGTTTCGGTCTTAGAAATGCTACTGCTACCTTTCAGAGATTCATGCATGAAGTCTTAAGAAACTTGGACTTTGCATTTGTCTACTTAGATGATATACTGGTAGCCTCTAAAACAGAGGAAGAGCATTATAGCCATCTTGAAACCTTATTCAGCAGACTAAATTCCTATGGATTGAGAATCAATCTTTCTAAATCTAAATTCCTAGTACAGGAAATTGATTTTCTAGGATACCTAATTACCTCTCACGGTGTGAAACCACTCCCGACAAAGGTTAAAGCTATTCTAGAATATAAGAAACCAAAAACAGTTCATGAATTACGCATATTTTTGGGTATGCTAAACTTTTATCGTACCTTTTTGAACAATGCCGCAGAGACTCAGGCAATCCTTCATGAATACTTGAGGGGTGCCAAGAAAAAGGATAGAAGCGAAATAAAATGGACTGAAGAAGCTGAAGTTCAGTTTGAAAAATGCAAACAAGCCCTAGCTAATACAGCACTGTTAGCCTACCCCGATACTGAACTGCCTATCTCACTCTGTACAGATGCTTCAGATCGGGCAGTTGGATCAGTTCTCCAACAGCTTGACAATAATACATGGAAACCAATAGCATTTTTCTCTAAAAAATTAAATCCTGCTCAATGTAATTATAGTACATATGATAGAGAGCTTCTCGCAATATATTTGTCTATCAAATTCTTCAAGCACCTGCTTGAGGCCCGTGAATTTACAATTTTGACTGATCACAAACCTTTAATTTACGCATTCAAACAAAAAAATGAGAAAGCTTCTCCTAGACAATTAAGACATCTACAATACATCTCCCAATTCACTACTGACATCAAGTACATAAAAGGTACTGACAACATAGTCGCCGATGCTCTGTCCAGAGTTGATGCTATCACAACTATCGACTATGAAGAGATCGCCAAAGAACAAACTGGTGATTCAGAACTACAAAACCTGCTATCAAAGAATACCTCTCTAAAATTTAAGCAATGCTCACTACAATCAGGCAATTTGTTATGGTGTGACGTGTCTACCAATAATATTAGACCATTCATTCCAATTAAATTCCGAATGATGGTTTATAGGAACTTCCACGAACTCTCACACGCAGGCATCAAAGCCACTACTAAACAATTAACATCAAGATTTATATGGCCCAATATGAATAAAGACATTAGGAAATGGGCTCAAGCTTGTGTCAACTGCCAAAAGTGCAAGGTGTCGATACACATGAAATCAGAAATAGGCAAATATCAAGAAGTGGATGAAAGATTTAGTGTTGTCCACATCGATCTAATTGGTCCTTTACCTCCATCGAATGGTAACATCTACTGTCTGACCTGCATCGACAGGTACACCAGCTGGATGGAAGTTGTTCCGCTACCAGATATGAAGTCTGAAACGGTAGCGAGAGCATTCTACGAAAACTGGATTGTTAGATTTGGAGCACCTCATACAGTGATATCAGACCAAGGAAAGCAGTTTACTTCTCAACTTTTCAAAGATTTAACAAAGCTGTGTGGTATCAAACTTCGTCATTCCACGGCGTACCACCCTCAGTGTAACGGGAAGATTGAAAGGCTTCATAGAACCATTAAAACTGCCATTCGTGCCCACAATAATATTAAGTGGACAGAAACGCTGCCAACAGTACTCCTAGGCTTGCATGCTGCTATCAACAAAGATAACAACCATTCTTTGTCTCAGATGGTATATGGCAAAACCATCAGACTGCCTGGCGAATTCTTTGATGATTCTAAACATCACCTGCATGCTGAAGAATTTGTTCAACAGCTTCAAAAGCAAATGGAATTGCTCAAACCCTTGAATGAAAAACATCGTTCGAAGACTAAAGTATTTGTCCATAAAGATCTGAAAACATGTTCACATGTATTTATCAGGACTGATAGAGTGAAGAAACCTCTGGAACCACCATATGAGGGACCCTTCCCAGTTCTTGATAGAACAGACAAGTATTTCACACTCAAAGTGAAAGGAAGAAATGTGACCACATCGATTGACCGATTGCGACCTGCTTACTTACTGGCAGATTCGGACAATGTAACTTCAGAACACCCTACTGCAACAAGACCCATCGTGTTGGGAGCGCTGCTTTCTACATCGTCCCAACA